TCTGTCAACAGAAAATCCATAGCTTACTGCATGTACTATATCAACAGTTTTGGTATCTATTCGTGTGTCATTTTACAGAAAGCTACATGTATTTTCTTTGGCCAACATAGGATTGAACGTCGAGAACACCAAGGAGGGAGGGGCCCCATATTCACACAGGAGCAAGAGAGAGAGATCATAAACCTCGTTTTGGCCAATAATGCAATCAGACTTAGAGAAATTCAAGCCCATATTGTCAATGATCACCCAATTTTCAATAATGTCCAACAGGTCTCTCTGTCAACAATAGCCCGTATCCTTAAAAAACATCAAGTTCTGATGAAACAACTGTATAAAGTGTTATTTGAAAGAAATTCAGACAGGGTGAATGTCCTGTGGCGTGAATATGTGGTGGTACGTTTTGTTCACTGACTGTAGTATTGTGTACTGCACACATAACCTTTTTACTGTACATGTAATTTTACTGTATAGCAGACCTACAGTATATTGATCTACACAATGTGATATTTTGCTGTATTTCAGAGAGTTTTGCAAATGGATGCGGAGGAAGTCCCACATGAGTTTATACACATTGATGAGGCTGGATTTAACCTGACAACAGTGAGAAGGTGAAGAAGCATCATTGGCCACAGGGCTATTGTCAATGTACCAGGGCAACGTGGGGGTAACATTACCCTTTGTGCTGCCATTACACAGAATGGGGTCCTACACCGCCATGCCAACTTGGGTCCTTACAACACTGACCTCATTCTTACATTTTTAGACAGATTACACAATATTATTACAGTAGCAAACCAAATGGACCAGATTCAATACATTGTCGTCTGGGACAATGTAGCTTTCCATCATTCTGCTCTGGTCCAAAACTGGTTTCATCAACACCCACAATTTACAGTTCAATACCTTCCACCATACTCCCCCTTCCTAAACCCCATCGAGGAGTTCTTCTCAGCATGGCGGTGGAAGGTTTATGATCTCCGGCCCTATGTCCAGATGGCCCTCATTTAAGCTATGGAGGAAGCATGTGATGAAATTGAAGCAGCATCCATACAAGGGTGGATTCGTCATTCCAAAAGATTCTTCCCACGTTGCCTTGCAAATTAAAATATAGCCTGTGATGTTGACGAGGCCCTGTGGCCAGATCCAGCTAGGCGGAGAGATGTTTAGGTTTTTATTCAATTTTTTATTCGGTACTGAACTGGATATGTAATTTGTTACAGTATTACTGTAAGCTTACAGTACAATGGTACATGAAAACTGGAAAATGTTTTATGAATGTTTTGTTGAAATGTTCAGTATTGACTGACTTGAGTACATGAAAAGAAATAAATATTTTCATTAGTCTGCACAATTGGTGTCATGTGGTGTTGGTGAATTTATTTTTATACTTTCTCTGTGTAAATGCTAAAAGTGTTTTAGGTTGAGCACAGGAGTGTTTAACTGATTCAAACAGAATCAGACCATATGATGGTTGTGTTTATGTTATGACAGCAAAATAAGGTTTTTATAAGACATTGTATAGTTTTGACAAAAGTGTTCCATTTTGCAAATTATCCGAGGTGTTGTGCTACTTTGGTGTAGTGTCGTGCTAATTGTGTGAAGGGGTTTGAAAAACCGGGCCCGGTTTTCAAAATTGTGCTTAAGCAATTGAAAAAAACTGTAATATGATGAAATACTAATACGAATTTTTTTTTTAACTGCATTAATGATTGTCTTGAAATCCATTATTTGCAGTAGACTGGATTGATTAAACCTGAGATAAGCTTTGAAGCCTTTATCACCTCCTGCCAATAGTTCTGTTAACCGTTACGATAGAGTGAACAGATCAACAAAAGCCAACTATATGTATAATGCTTATATATTCATGGTTCTACCTTATTACAGAACACGCACGGAAATGTGAGGGAATAACTAGGCCATTATTATAATGTAAGGTAATTATTACTAAATGACTCATGAGATTGTGCAGTTAATTTTAATGTGTATTTGAAGTAATTAGTCAGGCAGATTAATGTTATTTCCAAAATCTAAGTAAAAATGATCTGTCAGATGAACTGGTCAATGACCAATATATTCATATTTACAATATTTATGATGTTCCTCTAGCGAACACTATATCTCATCATCTCTGCATTCTGATAATTTCTGGCCGCCATTTCTGTAACCCTACTATATTGATTGTTAACGTTGATCTATTCAGGTGAAATAAAATACACAACTGCTCATTTTTTAGAAACAATCAAGCTCTGCTAACACTCTAGAATCTACTCCAACACTACCTTTGGTCAAACCGTCCCCAACACACACACACACACAGCTGTCTCAACAGATGGCTAAAGAGGGGTTTAAACTATACCCAACACACACACACACACACACACACACACACACACACTGACAACAGACACCCACTGACGGACACACACACCCCACACCTGCCACACACACAAACAATGTATACACAACCGGGCTGCTGTCTGCCCCAGGACCGAATATTGCCTCCCTCGGGGCTGGTTATGTGAGGAACCAGGAAATACCATCGCATGAATGAGCATCTCACAACATGAATGCATATGTGTGTATGCGATTACAACAAAACTGTCCTCCAGGCTGTTATATACCACAATGTTATGATGGAATAAGTGGTCTTTGATCTTTAAAATCAAATCATGATATTTAGTTGTGCTTATAGATACTTATAAATGTTCAAGTGACGTGTGCCAGAGACTCTTTGGACACTACAATTCAAAAGTTTTGGGTTGGTAAGATTAGTTTATGTGTTTTGAATGTCTATTTTGCTCACCATGAGGTTATGTTTTATTTGAATTAAAAATACAGTAATATTATAAAGTATTACTACAATTTAAAATAACTGTTTTCTATTGAAATACATTTTAAAATGTAATTTATTCCTGTGATGCAAAGCTGAATTTTCAGCATCATTGCTCCAGTCTTCAGTGTCACATGATCCTTCAGAAATCAGTATAATATGCTGATTTGCAGCTCAAGAAAAATGTCTTATTATTATCAATGTCTAAAACAGTTGCTGCTTCATATTTTTGTGGAAACAATGTGATGCATTTACATTGTCAGGATTCTTTAATAATTTTTTTTGAATAAAAGTGTCAACTTCTTTAAAAAAAAAGAACTGTTTCCCATAAAGCAGTGGTCACCAACCGCTCATTTATTGATAATAAACAATTGATAATAAATAATATAACAATATTTGGCTTGTTTCTGAAGCTGCGGTTGCTTATTTATCTTGTGAGAGTTGGTAACACTGGCCACCATCAGAGAGTGAATTTGCATCTCATTCAGCCTGTCTGCTGTTTTTGTTGCATGCAGATATTTTTACGTAGCATCATTTCACAAAGATAAAGTCAGACCATTCTATTTTTTGCTTTAAATCTTGAAATTATACAATCTAATTCAAATAAAAAAACAGCTATTCATGCAACGTGCGTGTAGAATCTTTGTTTGGATCTTGATTAAAATGTTTTTTTTAGCGGTTCTTGATTAAAATGTTTTTTTAAGCGGTTTTCTCTAAATTCAAATGGCTACAGATATTTTTAAGGCTAGTTTGCTTGTTATAGTGCAAATAAAAAAATAATTTACTTTAAAAAAAAATAATGTAATCTGAATCGGCCATCAAAAATCATGATTGGTGCACCACTGATTAAAATACTAAATAAAAGACCTCAAATTGGAAGTACAATCTGGGCTGTCTTTTTCTATCAATTCTTCAAAAGATAGATCTTGTCTTTCATAACGGCCGAAGTTAGGGATCTTGGGCTTAAAAAGGTTGGTGACCACTGCCATAAAGCAACACATTTCCTGCCCTCTGACAATAACCTTTTAAACTGTGAAACTTTAAACCTTTTAAACTTATGAAAATCTTTGAATTAGAAGCTAATTAATAATCCAAATGAAATGTTTCATTGTTCTCCAGGCAAAATCTTAGGTCTGATCACTTCAATTTAATAAGGAATCTGAATAAATGATTCATGTCTGTAGCACAAATAGTGAGGGATGAACCAAATAACCTGAATACATGTGTATGAGTGTATATCTTAATCATTAGTCAGATTATTACATTTACATTATACACAAATCAAGGTAAAATCATTTTAACAAGTATGATGAATAGCTAATTAATATTTGCCATACTATTTATGAGGTTTCTTCTCAAGAAATTATGATGATTCATTATGATATCAGAGATTTTCATCACCCATTTTTTTTTACTACAAGGTATTGAAGTGATCTGAATCAACACTGAACTGATTGGAACTAAATAAATATATAGTTCAGTCATGAAACTTTAGATGGTGCAGGCTGACGGTTGTTAATGTAACTGATGATATTCAGAGAGTTAAATGACTTGGCACAAGCTGATTGGTTCATGCTGCATATGCAGCCAATGAGCTTACTGCCTTGCACTTATATGGCTGGCTAGCATTCACTAGAGATTCCTGCAGCGTGCTTTCTCTGAAACCCTCCACCTTCTTGACTCCTCCACCTTGACCTGACTTGAGCTAAATAATGACACTGTTGTCTTTTAGAGCTGCTTTACAGTAGAATCTGAATTGTTCCCATAGTTGAGTTTCCATAACTGATTCTGCTACTTTCCTGTTTATCTCTGTGAAGTTGATTTGATGCAATCTGTATTGTATAAAGCACTATTTTTTACCTCATGCCTCCCAAAAAAATATCTAAATTAATTTTAATTCAGGTTTTAAAAACTTGTTCAACATAGAAGCTGTGTATTCAGGTGACTTTCTGTATGAATTGCAGTGTTAAGGTAATTTTGAATAAATTATCAGATATGGAGAAAAGACGAGCTTCATGTGACTGACCCTAATACTAAGGGCTACAGGCCTGTTTAAATCCCCAACATAAAGAATGAACAATAGTAATAGTTATGCTTGCTTTAGTAGCAGAAATACTTGCACAGTCCCTGAAAAATGTGCAAGCTGCAGGTTATTAGCAGGGACTCTTACCGTGTAAAGTGGTCTGTGAGGATGCCCACCAACTCCCCTACACGGTCCTGATTTGGGTTGAGTTGACCCCTCTGCAAGTGCACTAGAAAGTCATCCTGAGAGGTAGTATGTAGCGCCACCATCTGGTCACTGCCACTTGTTACGCTCACACCAACCACCTGTGGGATTGAAGAGAGTGTAAAACAGCAATACAAACACATGAAAACATGTTAACACATTGCATGGCATGTGTTGGTGCACAATGAAGTCAAAGCATTTGTGTCCAATAAATCCATCATTCATGAGTCTAACATATCCATTTTTCCACCAACCAATGGCATTCAGTCAACCTCTGCCTTTGCAATCTCAGAGTAAAAGCTCATTCACAGCACAATCACTTCCTGTGCTTCAGCACATGTTTAACTCAGTAACCTTGAGAATGCTGGACATAATCGTGAATGAATGACTGGATTGTTGCAGTTACTCAAAGAGTGTGACCAATCGAAGTTGTGCGTCAGTAAAATGTGTGTATGCCTGGCTGGTACGCATGACTCTGAGATTAGAAACGGCGCTGGGGATGCTGTTTGCATGAGCATGCACACCCATGTGCCTTTAACTTCTTTAAAGGGTTAGTTCACCCAAAAAGGAAAATTAGGCTGCATTTTACACACCCCCGAGGCACAAAGCCGACCTCATACATCATACGCCCAGAGCTGCTTCTGTTTACAACAGTGAGCGCAAGCTAGATTCAAGTGATTATTATGTTTTGAATATGGATATTTTTCTTACAAAAACGCATCGATTCACTACAGAAGGCCTTTGTTCACCCCCCGGAGCCGTGTGAGACACTTTTTTTTTATGGATGGGCGATTTTTATTTAAGTTCTTTTGGACTGAAGCAATGCAACGCCCGCTGAGTGGCATTAAACAGCTTGAAAGATCAAAGACAATTTTTAATATAACTCCGACTGGATTCGTCTGAAAGAAGAAAGTCATATACACCTAGGATGCCTCGGGGTTAGTTGGGTGAACTAACCCTTTAATATGTGTGTATTTCTGTATGTATGCTTTACAAACCCATGCAATCATGCCCTAAACATTTGAAGTATGCAGTCTCTTCTAGGAAAAATATTGATGACTCATCCTGCACTGAACATATTTTTGTCCAGTTTAGTACTCCCTAAAAAAAAAATAGATGTCCTTCACCTAATATCCCCAGCAGCTAACTTGTGTGTCGTTTTAATATTTACAGAGGCGAGAGAAAGGATGTGAACCTATTGATATTGCTTGTTTTTCTGCATTAATTGGTCATAAAATGTCATCTGATCTTCATTAAAGTCACATGTATAGACAACCACAGTGTGCTTGAGCTAACAGTACACAAACAATTAAAATATTTTGTCTTTATTGAACACATCCCATTAAACATTCACAGTGCTGTGGAAAAAGTAAGTGAACTTTAGTTGTCAATATATGAATGATCATATACAACATCAAGTTTGAGTCCCTTGCTTGTCACTATTCTTTAGAAAAAAAATCATCCAGGTCCTGCACTTTCTTTGGTTTTCCAGCATATTCTGCATATTTGAACCTTTTACAACAATGACGGTATGACATTTTATGAGCAATTAATGCAAAAAACAACCAATTGCATTGGGTTCACATACTTTTTCTCACCATGGTATATACGATTACAGTATTAATACTGCAAGTTAGTCCACATTTTAGCAATTTTGTTGCGTTTTTTTTTTTGTCATTTTATTAGCGTTTTTAATATGTCTAAATAGCTTGATATTATTTTTTATTTCAGTTTTAGTAATTTTAGTATTTCAGCTTCAACTTATTTATTTCAGATAGCTGCCAAGGCAACATTTCTAACATTTTTATTTTCTAGATTTCAAGTTTTTTTTTAATTGAAGTTTCATCTAACATTTCATTATTTTATTTAAGCTTTATTCAAATGACCAAAAACAATTTTTTTATATATTTCGTTTTAGTTAACAATAACAACACTGCGAGTTTTTTAAAAACAGTATGTGAAACAGTAGGTGCTATCCCACAATAAATAAATTTTTTAACCAAATACATGTAAAATGTCTTGATATTTGGCAGTCCAATCAAACAAGTAAATCAGGAAAGAGCATTTAAAAATAACAGAACATTATTTCTTGTTGAGTCACAACATAAATTAGAGCGTACTGCATTGTGGGATACAGTACTTGTTTTATGACTACATAAAATAATACTTGCATATTGTGCATTGTATGTGCACAATATGCTGTGACAAAACTAAAGCCTATTGGCTATTTAAAAAACAAGCCCGCCTGAACAAATTTCAAGGAGTCTTTAAGGTTCATTAAAGGCCAGTGTGTTTATGAGTGTACATGAATGTGAGTGGTTATGAACAGCAGTAGGTGGGTCACCGCTGTGCCTGAAAGAAAGAAAGTGATCAGGCAGCGTTAAGCCTCTTTACTCCCACTTGGATGTACACACATTAGCACACACAAACATGCGTGCATACACACATACACACACACACGCGCGTGTGCGCACGCAGTTTAATCATTCTGTGCCCTGCGATACATGTGGCTGACCTTGCTGTCTGAGAGATTTTGAGAAATGAGGGTGGGCCAGGAAAACACTGCACTGTGTTCCAATCAAACAGATACACACATATCTGAGTACACAAAGCATTTCCAAATAAATAACACCTAAATAGCATTTATGCAGACAATTTCAAACAGGATTTCAAAGCACAACTATACGGTTATAAGGATATAGTAGTAAGTGTGAATGGACGTAAGGTTGCCCTTTCTGTTTCTGCTGCTCTAGAATATCAGCTGACATGATCAGCCCCTGTGCCGCACAGAGCCGTAATGCGTCAATCTGTGGTGAAATGAGATTAAAACCACAATGTACTGGGCTGTCATAAAACAATATCCTTGTCTGGGACTGCCTGAACCCATCCAGTGTGGTCTGGCATGACCGGAGAAGCTTGTGAAAGTTCATAATATGCTCTTGGATGGTGACCCATTAGGTGCAGGGCTGCCGGTGAGGCTGTGAGATTATAATCGAGTAAATCTCATAAAATCTGTCAGGACATGTCCAGGTCTAATAATACTTATATAACTATAATAGTTCATATATTATATTAATAATTTTTATTATAAATTATAGTACAATCATTTTAATAGTATTTGTTGTGCTACCTTTAATTTACCCTGGCCTTAAAACCTTAAAAACTTTTTTTTTTAAACTACCACAGTTACATCAATATACTAAATTGCATGTGGATACATCACATTATTTATTGAGAATAATCATTGAGAATAATTAGAATTAAAAAAAAAATTATAAAGTGAAAAGTCCAGATGCATTACATTCATAAGAATTTAGGGTATAAATATGCTAAATTGTCTTTAAAACAATGTAACAATGCAAATAATAATAATGCTCTTTAAAATATGTTTTATGCATTTCTTAGAATTTGGAAATATGATTTATATTTTTTTGTGTGAGATTGACCTAGTATACAAACTGCAATATATATATATATTCAAATATATGACTAGTGCTTGCTGTAGCAGTTGCAGCTTGCTTCAGAAACCCTCCACCTTCCCCAGCTCCACCTGTATAGATCTGCTACGAGGTGATTCGTGTATGCTATATGGGGGTTATTTCATGTATGTTATATTTGCAGCAGCAATATTTCTTACATGCTCACAGCAGCATGTTGTGGATGTATTGGCAGTAGCAAGTCTCGGTACTTGCTCTGCCGCAGCAGCAGAGCAGCATTTGGTTCGCCAAGACCAAATACAATAACATTGTCATGTACATTACCATGCCAATCCCTCCCAGAGCTGTCATGACAGAAATATATATATACATATATATATATATTATTTATATATTTTTTTTCTTGTGCTATATTCAAATCTGTAAACATCATAATGACAGCTGTAGCATGAAAATTGTGTTGAAGAGTATGTGTGCATATTTGGCGAGATTCAGTGCTATACTGCAGTTTGTTCTGCCCAATCGCTTATCTCTACCTCTCTCTCTGCGACGTCTGGTCTTGCTTCCACTAGAGATGTGTGAAACATACAGATATGGATAATATTGCAGGTTTAATGTTTGTGTATGTGATTGTGAAGGGGAGCTCAGACTGCAGTGTGAGTCCAAATCCCTCTCTCACTGTATCGCATCTTAGAACGTATACAGAATGTAGGTCAGACACCTCACACACAGACTGTTCTGGTCACTGAATTCACTCCAACGCAGCCAGAAGTTTGTGAATGACCCTGTTAAACCATCTGACGTGGCTGGTCATATGGAGTATTAGTGCTGTCATCTAATAAAAGAGACCAGTTGGTAGTTGGTAGTTGGTAGCATGTCCAAAAGAGGCAGGAGACAGCGAGACTGCAGCAGACAGATGCACTGACCCACATTGCACAGTTACATAAAACAAAAACAAACCCAGATAATGACAGATACCAAGACGCGTCTGCTCTCTTTTTAAGGCTTCATTTCACACTCATAAAAATAAAGGTTCTTAATTGGCATTGATGGTTCATTGATGGAAATACTTTCAACATCCATTAAACATTTCTATTGTGCAAAAGGTTCTTTATAGTGGAAAAGGGTTCTTTAGATCTTTAAAATATTCTTCACACTAAAACATGGTTCTTTTAAAGGACTAGTTCACCCAAAAATGAAAATTTGCTGAAAATGTACTCAACCTCAGGCCATCCAAGATGTAAATGAGTTTGTTTCTTCATGGCAACAGATTTGGAGAAATGTAGCAACACATCACTTGCTCACCAATGGATGCTCTGCAGTGAATGGGTGCCGTCAGAATGAGAGTCCAAACAGCTGATAAAAACATCACAATTATCCTAACCCTAATCCACACCACTCCAGTCCACCAGTTAATGTCTTAAAAGCTGTGTGTTTGTAAGAAATAAATCAAAATACGAGTCCATATCTATAATAACACTTCCACCAGTGAAAAAGTCCATCCCCTCTTGTCCTCTCGCATCAAAATCAACCTACATATTAGTTTCACTTGTAAACAGTGCTTGATTTTGTGCATAGTTCACTCCTGATTCAGACATGTGACAAGTGTTTTACTAGAGAAAGCAATATTATTGATAGAGGATTTTAGCTGGAAGCAACAGTTTGAAGTTAAAGACGTCGTGATGCATTTGTTTCTTACAAACATGCAGCTTTTCACTTGACAAGATGTTAATTGATAGACTATATTGTGTGGATTACTTGTGGATTGTTGTGATGTTTTTATCAGCTGTTTGGACTCTCATTCTGACGGCACCCGTTCACTGCAAAGGATCCATTGCTGAGCAAGTGATATAATGCAAAATATCCTAACCCTAATCCACACCAGTCCAGTCCACCAGTTAATGTCTTAAAAGCTGTGTGTTTGTAAGAAATAAATCAAAATACGAGTCCATATCCATAATAACACTTCCACCAGTGAAAAAGTCCATCCCCTGTTGTCCTCTCGCATCAAAATCAACCTACATATTAGTTTCACTTGTAAACAGTGCTTGATTTTGTGCATAGTTCACTCCTGATTCAGACATGTGACAAGTGTTTTACTAGAGAAAGCAATATTATTGATAGAGGATTTTAGCTGGAAGCAACAGTTTGAAGGTGTGACTGCATGCTAAATACTTACTGCATCAAGCGATATTCGTTTTTGCACTTTAAAGTGTTTTTTAGGTTCCACCCTGTAGATATGCTTGTCTGTGATGAGTAGAGCTCTGTCCTTTGTGTTGTTGAACCAGTTGAGCTGGAGAAAAGAGAGATCAGGAGAGAGAAAAAGTAGAAATGAGGTAAACTAGCTTCCTCTGTCTGAGCTTGACTGCAATAATAAGTAACAATGATATTCAGGGCTTATTGAAATTCATCAGCACTGTTGGTATGTTTATGTGCTGCTCCCCTATTTGTTTCTTCATGGCAACAGATTTGGAGAAATGTAGCAACACATCACTTGCTCACCAATGGATGCTCTGCAGTGAATGGGTGCCGTCAGAATGAGAGTCCAAACAGCTGATAAAAACATCACAATTATCCTAACCCTAATCCACACCACTCCAGTCCACCAGTTAATGTCTTAAAAGCTGTGTGTTTGTAAGAAATAAATCAAAATACGAGTCCATATCTATAATAACACTTCCACCAGTGAAAAAGTCCATCCCCTCTTGTCCTCTCGCATCAAAATCAACCTACATATTAGTTTCACTTGTAAACAGTGCTTGATTTTGTGCATAGTTCACTCCTGATTCAGACATGTGACAAGTGTTTTACTAGAGAAAGCAATATTATTGATAGAGGATTTTAGCTGGAAGCAACAGTTTGAAGTTAAAGACGTCGTGATGCATTTGTTTCTTACAAACATGCAGCTTTTCACTTGACAAGATGTTAATTGATAGACTATATTGTGTGGATTACTTGTGGATTGTTGTGATGTTTTTATCAGCTGTTTGGACTCTCATTCTGACGGCACCCGTTCACTGCAAAGGATCCATTGCTGAGCAAGTGATATAATGCAAAATGTATCACTGTTCAGATGAAGAAACAAACTCACATCTATATACTGGATGGTCTGAGAGTACATTTCCAGCATTTGGGGGGGTAGGTGTGACTGCATGCTAAATACTTACTGCATCAAGCGATATTCGTTTTTGCACTTTAAAGTGTTTTTTAGGTTCCACCCTGTAGATATGCTTGTCTGTGATGAGTAGAGCTCTGTCCTTTGTGTTGTTGAACCAGTTGAGCTGGAGAAAAGAGAGATCAGGAGAGAGAAAAAGTAGAAATGAGGTAAACTAGCTTCCTCTGTCTGAGCTTGACTGCAATAATAAGTAACAATGATATTCAGGGCTTATTGAAATTCATCAGCACTGTTGGTATGTTTATGTGCTGCTCCCCTATTCTACTGCAGGTTCATGCCTTTAAAAATAGCTTGTGAAGTTGGGTTGAGTCTCGCTGGGAAGGGAAGATAAACTGGACCACTGGTAGCAGCATCTATAGCTGCAGCGGTATGATAGAGAGTGTGTTTTACAGTCTCAAGGCAGTCAGACACTGAGCACTCGGCTGTGCTTGTGATCTCCACATAGGGTACGGTCAAAGGCGCTCATGAGTGAGTAAATGAGAAAGTCAATGAGACTCGGTGACTTGGAGTTTGGTGAATAAGGGAGTATGTGTGTGTGTGTGTGTGTGTGTGAGAGAGAGAGAGAGAGAGAGAGAGAGAGAGAGAGACTATATTTTGTCATGTTTACCCTATAATAAGTATGTTACTTTTTTCCAGAAATTTAGTCTAAGAATAATAATAATAATAATAATAATAATATGTTAGAAACATGCTAGCAACATGCTAATCATGCTAGAAACATGCTAGCGACATGCTGGTAACTTGTTAATCATGCTAGCAACATGATAGTTACTTGCTAATCATGCTAGCGACATGCTAGTCACTTGCTTGTCATGCTAGTTACTAGCTAATCACTCTAGGAACATGCTAGTTACTTGTTAATCATGCTAGTAGCATGCTAATCATGCTAGTGACATGCTAGTAACTTGCTAGTCATGCTAGCAACATGTTAGTCACTTGCTAATCATGCTAGTTACTTGTTAATCATGCTAGCGACATGCTAGTAACTCGCTAATCCTGCTAGCAACATGCTAGTTACTTGCTAATCATGCTAGCAGCATGCTAGTAACAGGCCAATCATGTTAAAACATGCTAATCATGCTAGAAACATGTTATCAACATCTAATCTATCTAAATGTTCAAACTTCAGGCTTTAACAAATGCTTTAAACTTTCAGGCTAGGCTTTCTCAAGCCAACCTAAAGTTTGTCTTGACAAACTTTTTTATCTAGTTTTATTTTGCATTTTTATTAATGTTTTTCTTCTTAATAGTACTTATTTACTTATTTGTAACATTTATCACATAGTACTTATATATAACACTCATACGCTTATTTAGCTTTTTTTTAGTATTGTGTTATATTATTAGTTAACACTGCTTGTTTACTCCATTTGCACTACTGTTATTTTGTTTTATTTGCTAATATTGTTTGATTATTTAATTTACACTTAATTTATTTTACTTTATTTGTTAACACTGCTTGTTTACTACATTCACAATGTTGTAATTTTACTTTATTTGTTAATATAGTTTACTTCATTCACAGTATTATTGTTTTATTTAATTTGATAATATATTGCTTGTTTACGCCATTCACACTTGCAATTTTATTTTATTAGATAATATTGCTTGTTTATTTCATTCACATTGTTGTAATTTTACATTATCTGATGATATTGTTTGTTTACTCCATTCATGCTCTTATTTTATTTGTTAATATTTTTTGCATTTTTATTAATGTTTTTCTTCTTAATAGTACTTATTTACTTATTTGTAACATTTATCACATAGTACTTATTTATAACACTCATACGCTTATTTAGCTTTTTTTTAGTATTGTGTTATATTATTAGTTAATATTGCTTGTTTACTCCATTTGCACTATTGTTATTTTGTTTTATTTGCTAATATTGTTTGATTATTTAATTTACACTTAATTTATTTTACTTTATTTGTTAACACTGCTTGTTTACTACATTCACAATGTTGTAATTTTACTTTATTTGTTAATATAGTTTACTTCATTCACAGTATTATTGTTTTATTTAATTTGATAATATATTGCTTGTTTACGCCATTCACACTTGCAATTTTATTTTATTTGATAATATTGCTTGTTTATTTCATTCACATTGTTGTAATTTTACATTATCTGATGATATTGTTTGTTTACTCCATTCATGCTCTTATTTTATTTGTTAATATTGTTTGTTTTCTACATTCACACCACTGTTATTTTATTGTATTTGATAATCTTGCTTGTTTACTTCATTTGCACTATTGTTATATTATTATAGTTGCTAATATTTCTTGTTTGCTCCATTTGTGCTATTTGTTAATATTGCTTGTTTACTCCAATCTCACTATTGTAATTTTACTTTGTTATTAATATTGCTTGTTTACGCTATACAGCTATTTTATTTTCTGTTTGCTTGATCACAGTTTACTCCATTTGTGCTATTGCTATTTTACAGGATTTCCTCATTTAACTATCCTCCGCAAATGCTTTGGCAGTACAAATGCATAGTTTTTGTCATTTATTAACAGTGAAATTGAAATGTAAAAAGCTTACCATCCTGACAGAGCATGAAAAGAGGACCTGGCTGTACTGGTCTTTGTTCTTCAGCTCTTTAGTGATGCGCACAAAGTTGGTGCTCATCAGAGGAGAGTCTTTTGCCTGCAGTGGAGAGACACATTACTGGATTTATGACACTAGATTCTGAGAAGCTTAGTCACACGAGCAACACAAACAACAAGCACACTTATGCTTCCATGGCTTCCTTGATATCAATTCAAATCAATGCATGACGGATTTAAAAACACAGTCATCATCGTCACCAGCCCACTCCACTAATGCGTCAAACAGACATGACACCTTATCTGCAACAACAGATTCTCAACAGCGCTTCATGAATAAGCTTTTGATTCATTAGATGATCTGAAAACTTCAAAGGTCTTTGAAAGCTCATCTGTTACAGCCGATATAAACTGTGATGACAGGAAGGAGCATTCATCATGCATCTTGTGAGCTCTAAAAATGTGCGTTGTGAAATACAGAAGTCACAATAAATCTCATGCTGCTGAGGAAAATTCTACGGGATTATTAGAAAGAAAAGAAAGCTCTTCTTCGACTACTGTATGGAGCACATGGACTCGCTCTTCATTTCACACCACTGGAGTGAGAATTATTTGGAGCCACAGGGCTCTCGACTTTAGTTCAAGAGAGATTTTGTTTTGCTTGTCCTTCAAAATGTCAAAGAAAATGCAAAGAAAAAAAAAAAAAGGCTCATAAAAACATCAATCTAAGCAGTGGAAAAACACATAAGATCTTCAGAAAAGTTTAGCTTCTTTAACAAACAAAAAAATAAATAATAAAATAAAATAAAATAAAATAAAATAAATAAAATAAATAAAATAAATAAAATAAATAAAATAAATAAAATAAAATAAAATAAAATAAAATAAAATAAAATAAAATAAAATAAAATAAAATAAAATAAAATAAAATAAAATAAAATAAAATAAAATAAAATAAAATAAAATAAAATAAAATAAAATAAAATAAAATAAAATAAAATTAAATTAAATTAAATTAAATTGAAAAGAAAGAAAAGCTTTGGAACAACATTAGCGAGAGTACATTTTTTTTGGGTGAAATATCTATTTAACCGGAAAGAGCCTTTTGGTTAACCATATTCACCAGACAGTCGAACTGTTTAGTTAGTGAAGCAGAATCAAACCAGCATTATCAGCATAAATATGCCAGGACTAGCATCTGATCAAAGCCAGTTTTCAAGCAGTGAAATCAGGGCATTAGGATGGTCTTGTGTATGGCTGTTACCTCCTCAGATACAGCAAGAGACATCTCTCACCCAAAAAACACCAGCTACATTTAACACCTTCACATGCGGCGGCCATGTGCCAACGACGCATATGAGACTGCATCGGTTGAACACTGATTTATGTAATGATGGTAATTTAAAAGCATAAGGCTGGAAACAAACACACAAGTGGGGTCTGTGAGGGTCAAAATAGGCTAATTTTTGATTGTACAGCAACAAGAAGTAGATGCAATCTGTTGACCTTTTTGAGTCACCAATAGTCATGTGCATGGTGTCAACAGCTCAGTGTCAATGCTGTTTGTTTAGGCACAACAACAAGAGATTGGTTTGGACAAAATGATGACTAAACCATAAAGTGGGATTTAATGATAATGTGATTAACGTATTGATGTCAAGATGCTCATGCAGGCTTTTAGTGAAATCCACAGGATAATTATATACACTACAGAGACATGCAGGGGAAAAATAAAAACAAGATATCATGGCCACAAACTACGATTTTTTGCCCATATAGTTTGTTCCCTTATTTTATGCCACATTATACTAATGTTCTCTCATTGCCACGATTGCCAAATTAAAGTGACCACGATTTAATTAAAACAAGGAAACTAATTCATAAAACGTGACCATGAATTACTACATTTTTCTTGGCCATAGTTTATTTTTTTTGCACGTTATGTACAGCTATAAGATACATATTAAAATTACTGCTTTCTCACAGAGAAAAGCTATGGGAATATAAAAAGCAACTGTACTTCAGCAAAAACTAATTTACAAATGACATTCATTAATTTCGTCCAATGGGAGCAAACTGATTTTCTTCACATTTGAATATACATGAACGTGAATTCTGATTTATGGCACATTTGTTTGAGTTTTTATCATGCTTTTCATCTTTTTTGGAGCTTGAAAGCTCACATCTGTTATATGGAAAACAGCAGCGTGAACAGTCTTCAAAACATCTTCTGTGTTCCGCAAAAAAAAAAGAAAGTCATATGGTTTGATATGATGGTATATCAACTATTTTAGTTTTTGGGTGAATTGTTCTTTTATGTCCGCCAAATATTCCTGCATATACCACTGGGCTTAAAGCTTTATTAAACTGAAAACTTTAATAAGCTTAATCAATGTAAAAATCCTGCATACTATGTAAAAATACAAAGTAAAAGTTCTAAATGAATAACCTAATGAAAAACTCACATTGGCCAAGTAGTCTCTCTCCCAGGCACGGCTGTAGCCCCAGTCCACTCTCTCCCCTCTCAGAGCTGACAGAGCAGCTACTTTTGCCCTCACCTCCGCCATGTCAGACGGAGGGATGTTTTTAATTAGCTGCCGGGCCCACCATCTAAGAGAGAGGCAGTGAAAGCATGAGAGGAAGGCCAAACGATTAAGAAAAAGACATGATAACATTATGGAGATGAAGTCATGGTAATACCGGCGGTAGAGGTGTTGTGTGATTCTGTGGAACTGCACCAGGGCTGCAGGTGGTTTCGGCCACTCCACACTCTTCCCATAGTCGGCCATGTTTCGAACGTTGGCGAAACGTCTCTCCACTTCCCAGAAGTGAGCCTTCACCTTATAGCATTTATAATATGCCATTATGGTATAGATTGCCCTTATTTTCCTACATCGCATACGTGCTAATGCACCTCTCCAAACCTGCAGAAAAACACAAATACAGGTTGAATGAATGTGAGGGAAACCCTCTGAAGACACTAAACACAGTCACTGTGATGTGGCTGGTGAAACATATTCGGTTGCAAAATCTAAACTGCCCAGGCATTATGGGCATTAAAGTACTTTAAATAATAAATTCCAAGACAGCATTGCATGTGCATACACTAACGTTCAAAAGTTTGGGGTTGGTTACATTTTAAATGTTTTTGAAAGAGGTCCCTTATGTTTACAAAGACTGCATTTATTTGACCAAAATACAGTAAAAACAGTAATATTGTGAAGTAATAATACAGTTTAAAACAGTTTTATATTGTAATATATTTTAAAACGTAATTTATTTCTGATGCAAAGCTGAATTTTTAGCATCATTACTCCAGTCATCAATGTCACATGATCCTTCAGAAATCATATTAACATACTGATTTGCTCCTCAAGAGACATTTCTTATTATTATTAATGTTGAAAACAGTTGTGCTTAATATTTTGTGGAAATACTGACATTGTTCAGGTTTTCTTGACAACTAGAAAGGTTAAGACTTCATTGTCAAGTTTGATCAATTTAATGTGTCTTTGCTAGATAAAAATAATAATTTATATCAAAAAAAAAATTACCCCAAACTTCAACAGTATGTATAATTTATATAAATATAAAATATGCCCATTTTATTCCATCTATTCTAAAATAGTTCAATCTAATTTAAAATACACAAATTTACAATTTCACCCAATAATATTGTGTGACCAACCAAATTAGTCACTTATGTTCCATTTCAGATAGAATGATGCAGGCAGTGGGCACAGAGGCCGCTCCATATTGTTGGGAACAGTGTTATTATATATAATGTACTGTTTAGCATTGATAAGGAAAATAAAAGGAAAAAAGAATGCAAATTGGGTTTGGGAGTATTGAAGTGTGACAAATGTACAGTAACTCAAATGAACAACTATGAAAGATATGACAGCTGATAGAGTGAAGTTTACAAGGTGCAATGAGATATATGGTAGAGTGAGAGAGATAAAGACCTGCTTATTCACTGCTGAATGAATATATGAGTATAACGAGTGAATGACAGAATTAATTATTGGATAAATGTGTGAGTGAGTGAGTGAGTGAGTGAGTGAATGACTGAGTGAGTAAGTGGGTAAGTGATCGAATGATTCAGTGAATAAATGTGTGAGTGAGTGAATGACTGAGTAAGTGAGTGAGTGAGTGATCGAATGATTCAGTGAATAAATGTGTGAGTGAATAAATGTGTGAGTGAGTGAATGACTGAGTAAGTGAGTGAGTGAGTGATCGAATGATTCAGTGAATAAATGTGTGTGAGTGAGTGAGTGAATAACCGAGCAAGTTAGTGAGTGAGTGATCGAATGATTCAGTGAATAAATGTGTGTGTGTGTGTGTATGCGTGTGAGTGAGTGAGTGAGTGAGTGAATTACTGACTGAGTGAGCAAGTGAGTGAGTGATCGAATGAGTCAGTGAATAAATGTGTGTGAGTGAGTGAGTGAATAACCGAGTGAGTTAGTGAGTGAGTGATCGAATGATTCAGTGAATAAATGTGTGAGTGAGTGAATGACTGCGTGAGTGAGTGAATGACCGAGTGAGTATGTGAGTGAGTGATTAAATGATTCAGTGAATAAATGTGTGAGTGAGTGAATGACTGCGTGAGTTGAGTGAGTGAGTGAGTGAGTGAGTGAATGACTGAGTGAGTAAGTGGGTAAGTGATCGAATGATTCAGTGAATAAATGTGTGTGTGTGTGTGTATGTGTGTGAGTGAGTGAGTGAGTGAGTGAATTACTGACTGAGTGAGCAAGTGAGTGAGTGATCGAATGATTCAGTGAATAAATGTGTGAGTGAGTGAATGACTGAGTAAGTGAGTGAGTGAGTGATCGAATGATTCAGTGAATAAATGTGTGAGTGAGTGAATGACTGAGTAAGTGAGTGAGTGAGTGATCGAATGATTCAGTGAATAAATGTGTGTGAGTGAGTGAGTGAGTGAGTGAGTGACTGAGTGACTGAGTGAGTAAGTGGGTAAGTGATCGAATGATTCAGTGAATAAATGTGTGTGTGTGTGTGTGTATGTGTGTGAGTGAGTGAGTGAGTGAGTGAATTACTGACTGAGTGAGCAAGTGAGTGAGTGATCGAATGATTCAGTGAATAAATGTGTGAGTGAGTGAATGACTGCGTGAGTGAGTGAGTGAGTGATTAAATGATTCAGTGAATAAATGTGTGAGTGAGTGAATGACTGCGTGAGTGAGTGAATGACCGAGTGAGTATGTGAGTGAGTGATTAAATGATTCAGTGAATAAATGTGTGAGTGTGAGTGAGTGAGTGAGTGAGTGAGTGAGTGAGTGAGTGAGTGATCGAATAATTCAGTGAATAAATGTGTGTGTGAGTGAGTGAGTGAGTGAGTGAGTGATCGAATAATTCAGTGAATAAATGTGTGTATGTGTGTGTATGCGTGTGAGTGAGTGAGTGAGTGAGTGAATTACTGACTGAGTGAGCAAGTGAGTGAGTGATCGAATGAGTCAGTGAATAAATGTGTGTGAGTGAGTGAGTGAATAACCGAGTGAGTTAGTGAGTGAGTGATCGAATGATTCAGTGAATAAATGTGTGAGTGAGTGAATGACTGCGTGAGTGAGTGAGTGAGTGATTAAGTGAGTGAGTGAGTGAGTGAGTGAGTGATCGAATAATTCAGTGAATAAATGTGTGTGTGAGTGAGTGAGTGAGTGATCGAATAATTCAGTGAATAAATGTGTGAGTGAGTGAATGACTGAGTAAGGGAGTGAGTGATCGAATTATTCAGTGAATAAATGTGTGTGAGTGAGTGAGTGAATGAATGACTGAGTAAGTGAGTGAGTGATCGAATGATTCAGTGAATAATTGTGTGAGTGAGTGAGTGAATGACTGAGTAAGGGAGTGAGTGATCGAATTATTCAGTGAATAAATGTGTGTGAGTGAGTGAGAGAGTGAATGACCGAGTGAGTAAATGATTGAGTGATCGAATGATTCAGTGAATAAATGTGTGAGTGAGTGAATGACTGAGTGAGTAAGTGAGTGAGTGATCGAATGATTCAGTGAATAAATGTGTGATTGAGTGAGTGAATGACTGATTGAGTGAGTGAGTGATCAAATGATTCAGTGAATAAATGTGTGAGTGAGTGAATGACTGAGTGAGTGAGTGTGTGAGTGAGTGAATGACCGAGTGAGAAAGTGAGTGAGTGATCGAATGATTCAGTGAATAAATGTGTGTGAGTGAGTGAGTGAGTGAGTGAGTGAATGACCGATTGAGTAAGTGAGTGAGTGATCGAATGATTCAGTGAATAAATGTGAGTGAGTGAGTGAGTGAGTGAATGACTGAGTGAGTAAGTGAGTGATCGAATGAATCAGTGAATAAATGTGTGAGTGAGTGATCAAATGATTCAGTGAATAAGTGAGTGAACCACTGATGTCCCATGGACCATTTTAACGATGTCCTCACTAAGTTGCTGTGCCTTGACTATAGTAGTTCCCTTGCTGTCTATGGAGGGTCAAAGAGCTCTTGGATTTCATCGAAAATATCTTAATTTGTGTTCCGAAGATGAACGAAGGTCCTACGTGTTTGGAATGACATGAGGGTGAGTGATTAATTAAATAATTTTGATTTTTGGGTGAACTATCCCTTGAATGATCAAATGATTCAGTGAATAAATGAGTGAATGATTGAATGATTCAGTGAACAATCGAGCGTGCGAGTGAGTGAATTATTAAAATATTCAGTGAATAAGTGAATGAGTGACCTATAGATTTAGTGAATAAATGAGTGAGTGAATGATCAGATGATTCAATGAATAATGAGTTATTGAATAATTAAGTGAGTGCGTGAGAGAAGGATCAAATGAATCAGTGAATAATTGAGTGAGTGAGCAAGTGAAGGATCGAATGATTCAGTGAATAAATGAGTGAGTGATCAAATGATTCAGTGAATGAATGAGTGAGTGAATGAGTGACTGATAGAATGATGCAGTGAATACATTAGTGAGTGAGTGAATGATCAAATGATTCAGTTAATAAATGAGTGAGTGAATGAATGATCAAATGATCCAGTGAATAAATTAGTAAGTGAATGATCAAATGATTCAGGGAATAAATGAGTGAGCGAGTCAGTGAGACGGACAGAAACATGGCACCTGCTGGGTCGTCTCATCTGCTATGCAGGACTGAGTTTTGACTAAGCTGTCCTTTAGTTTAAGTCAGGCAGCATTAAGTGGGACAGAAGTGAAATCAGGGCAACTCACACTGCAGATGAATAATTGAATGCAACAAGAATAATCCACCACTCATAATCATTACCACAATCACTGTTATTAGAGTCACATACAGCCTACACACCAGATGAATGAGTGGGAAAATCTAGAAATAATGAACAGATCTATATTTACATCTATATATCCATATCTTCATGTATGAGCCCACTATAATCGTTCAAAGCAGATTTGAATCAACATGTACAAAACATACAAATAAATATTAATTTGTATAATGTTCATAAGTGCAAATAAATATTGCTTTACATATAAATAGGTATATTTATATCGGCTTTGAATAGGAATGGGTTCCCATTAACAATAAAACACATAGATGAGGATGTAAATATAGATTTATGCTCTGCAAGATCAAATGTATGAGGTTATAAAGATGGACTGAAGTGGAGGTGCAGAGGGAGCTGCTGTCTAGGTGTTATGATCCCACTCCACTGTCATGTCACCTCTGAACACATTAAAAAATCTGAAGAAGTCAAGAATGATTCAGTGAGACAGCTACAGAGAGCAAGAAAACACTGAAATGAAATGGGAGAAGGAGGAGAAAGACGGGAAGCAGCAGTGGTACAGGATAACAAGAAATACAATGTTGAGAGACCTAAAGTGCCTCAGGAAACAGATAGAGAGGGAAAAGTAAATAGACGGTGTCTGTCACCTTCTGTAAGAACAGCACTAGTATGGGGATGAGCGCGGCTCTCTCTTGCTCCAGCGTGAAGAGCGTGCGAGGGGTTCTCACGAATAGCTTGGTGTGGCCGTAAGCTACATCGTCCTCAAAGCCGTGTTGGTTTACGATGGCCTCCACAGCCTCCTGGTCAGAGCTCATCAGGTGATTAGGCCAGGTGTATTCACAGGTCATCTTGTACCTGAGCATGAAGGTAGCAGTCAGAATTTACTCGTGACCAGTGCATTTAGCACCTGCTTTTTATTGCAGGTGCCTAGTGTATTAGATGCATTTTTTTTTTACGAAATAGCACATGCTATGTGGTGCCACTGTTTAGTGAATCTTTATAGAAGTACTAATTTAATACATGATTTTAATTATTTTTGGTTCACCAACTAAACCAATGCATCTAAACCAATGGATCTTAACCCAGGCCCGGGACCCAGTAGGGGGCCTCAGCATAATTCCAAGGAGATGCAAAATGGCTTAAAATTATTTAAAATAAGACAAAATATGCTTTAAATAAGACAAATATGCTAAAAACTTGTCATTTTATTTAAAAACCACGGTTCCCACATTCTTGGAAAACCTGGATAAATGAGGGAACTTTAAAAGTGTGATTTCTAGATTTGGAGTCATGGAAACATTGGAAACATAAATAAATATTAAATATTAAGAAGTGATGGAAACTTCTAGAATGAACATACATTTTTTCTAGTTTTGTCAAGATCTAAAATATTTTATCAGGTATAAATCAGTGTTATTTTTGTTTCACTGAGATACAGTTATTGTTTTTATTATTTCCACATGAATAGAGAGCTCACCGTTCCCTTTCTCTACTACACAACAATCTCCTCATGTCATTCTCTCAACAGTCTGTCTGTCTGTCTGTCTATCAATCTATCTATCTATCTCTGTCTGTCTGTCTATCTCTGTCTGTCTGTCTGTCTATCTATCTATCTATCTATCTATCTATCTATGTCTGTCTGTCTGTCTGTCTATCATATATCAATCACTGTCTGTCTGTCTGTCTGTCTGTCTGTCTGTCTGTCTGTCTGTCTGTCTGTCTGTCTACATTGCAGATATGCTCACTGAATATAAACCTAACAGACCACTCAGATCATTAGGATCGAGTCAGTTAGAAATACCAAGGGTTCACACAAAACAAGGAGAGTCTGCTTTTAGTTATTATGCCGCCCGCAGTTGGAATAAGCTTCCAGAAGTGGATAAATGAGGGAACTTTAAAAGTGTGATTTCTAGATTTGGAGTCATGGAAACATTGGAAACATAAATAAATATTAAATATTAAGAAGTGATGGAAACTTCTAGAATGAACATACATTTTTTCTAGTTTTGTCAAGATCTAAAATATTTTATCAGGTATAAATCAGTGTTATTTTTGTTTCACTGAGATACAGTTATTGTTTTTATTCATATTTTTTTTATAATTTTGTTGTGATTTTGGCATTTTTTGTCTTTTTTAATGTATTTTTTTATTTGTAATTTATTTTTAGTTATTGTAGTACATCAAGTTACAAGTTTAACTAAATTAAAAGAAGAAATGTAGCTGGAAAAAATATAGAATTTATTTTCTATATTTTATTTTTATTTTAAACTATGATAACCCTATGATAACCCTGGTAGAAATTGCCGGAAATATTAAACTTGGGAGTATAAAAAATATTTTATAAATCTTTCACAAACCACAGGAAAATTTAACTCTTGAAACTTCTGAAATTAGGGAATTTAAGCATTTATATAAATGATTTAATTTAATTATTTAATTATATTATTATAATAACACTCTGTAAAAAGAAAGTTTAAAACCAGTTTTGTCATTACAGCAGAAATATTATGGGGGCCTCTAAATATTGTCTTGGACAGTAAGAAATCAAAATGCGGACCCTTGGAATCAAAAAGGTTGAGAACCACTGATTTAAACTGGTGAATTTCAGTCTGTAGAAAAGTAGCATGTGAGAATTCTCACCTCTGCAGAAAGCGTGCGTAAGGCTGTCTGTAGGCAAATCCAGCTCGACGCACACGGACATTCTCCAGCAGTCCCAGGTACGCCACTTGGTGCTGACAGCGTCCGTCATTAAACAGCATGGGAGACTTCGCTTCATTTGGCTTTATACACCGCACATAGTATGGCTCCTATATGAAAAATTGAATCTCACATCATTTGCAGAAATTGCTAAATAAAACCATTTCCCAAAGGTCTTAAAGGTACATTATTGAACTGCAGCTGACCAAGAAGATAGTTTAATAACCAATGACAAAGATTTATGTAAACACTACACAATTTGCAAAGAGTCAAAGGGACTTTTTCTCCCTGACCTTTCCTGGCAGCGTAAAGCTCACTTCATCAAGACTGCACCGTGTTACACTGATTATGACAATTCCTAGAACTGTGAGTTTTCCACATGAATAGAGAGCTCACCGTTCCCTTTCTCTACTACACAACAATCTCCTCATGTCATTCTCTCAACAGTCTGTCTGTCTGTCTGTCTATCAATCTATCTATCTATCTCTGTCTGTCTGTCTATCTCTGTCTGTCTGTCTGTCTATCTATCTATCTATCTATCTATCTATCTATCTATCTATCTATCTATCTATCTATCTATCTATCTAAATACATTGCAGATATGCTCACTGAATATAAACCTAACAGACCACTCAGATCATTAGGATCGAGTCAGTTAGAAATACCAAGGGTTCACACAAAACAAGGAGAGTCTGCTTTTAGTTATTATGCCGCCCGCAGTTGGAATAAGCTTCCAGAAGAGATCCGATGTGCTAAAACATTGGTCACATTTAAATGTAGACTCAAAACTCATCTGTTTAGCTGTGCATTTATTGAATGAGCACTGTGCGATGTCCGAACTGATTGCACTGTATTTTATGTATAATTGTTTTCTATTCTTAACTGTTTTAAATTCATTTTAAACCTCATAAATCAATTTTTTTTATCATTTTCAAAGTTTTTAAATTCCTTGTTTTATTGTTGTGATTATTTTTTTTCTTTTCTTTTATGTAAAGCACTTTGAATTACCATTGTGTATGAAATGTGCTATATAAATAAACTTGCCTTGCCTTGACTATCTCTCTCTGTCTGTCTGTCTGTCTGTCTGTCTGTCTGTCTGTCTGTCTATCTATCTATCTATCTATCTATCTATATCTATCTATCTATCTATCTATCTATCTATCTATCTATCTATCTATCTATCTATCTATCTACCTCTGTCTGTATGTCTGTCTTTCTATATATCTATCTATCATCTATCAATCTCTGTCTGTCTGTCTATCTATCTACCTATCATCTATCTGCTGTATCTTTCTATCAATATATCTATCCACCATCCATTCATCCATCCATCCATCCACTGTATCTGTCTATCTTTCTATCCATCATCCATCCACCATCAAAAAGTGATTCAGAGATATTGTTACAGACAATGGGCAACCTAAAATGTGTTTCAAGTGATAACATCTAAATTAACTTGTTAAATTACTAAATCAAGCTGTCTACTTTGCAAAAGTAATTTTGAGGTTTATATCAGGTAGAAGCTTTTTGAGGTAACGGCCGCACATATTCTTTTTTACAGTGTAGAGAGCATGTGAAGTCAGGATGGATGGGGTGAGCGGTCAGATGAGGCACAGGTGTTCCCACAGGAGCAAAGGGAGGGCAGCCAGTCATTTACTGTGACCTAAAAAAGCAGAAGCTGCCCCGGATTCAGCCCCACTTTACTACACAAACACACAAGTGCACACACACACACGTGCAGCCTGGCAGACACAGAAACTATCATGGATGCACTGGGTCATCCCAAAATAACAGCACCAAATGTCACAGATTCTTTAATAGGAGAGGAGAGCTGCCCATGACTCCACACTAAAGCAGGATTTAGCAGGTGTTCCTCTGCTGTAAACTGCTTTATCAAATACAGACAGTCTCCATTAGAGAGATTGCATTTTTCAACACGTCTACATAAGAGATTACTTGAGCTATTCTGAGAGACCCCCATTTCATCTTTTCACAGTGAACAGTATTAAAGGGGTAGTTGAGTAGATTAAGCCCAGATTAGATTCCTGTATAATTCTACACATATGCTCTTGCAGACATAATGTACCACAATGGCCCCTATCTACACCAATTCGTGATATTTAAAAATTAGGAACATAATGGGCTCAGCTGACTTAGAAATTTTGTATAAATTAACCGAAATCATAAAATAAGGATATGCATGAAAAATAATTGACGTGGATTATGTTAAAATAAGATCAATGTTAAATTACTAAATCAAGTTATGTGGAATCTAAATAGTGATCCCCAATTTTTTTCGACACTTAAAGTGTACTTAAAACACACACACACACACACACACACACACACACGTCTGGTTTGCTATCCTTGTGGGGACTCTCCATAGGCATAATGTTTTTTCTACTGTACAGACCGTATATTCTATTGCCCTACACCAACCCTACCTCTAAACCTACCCCTCACAGGAAACTTTCTGCATTTTTAGATTTTCAAAAAACTTAATTCTGTGTGATTTATTAGCTTGTAGCTTGGGTAACATGGGGACCTCAATTTAGGTCCCCACCGTGACACGAGTCCCCATGAGTCTGTGTATTCAGGTTTAAGTCCCCACCAGAATAGAAAAACAGGCACACACACACACACAACCAGAATAGAAAAACAGGTACACACACACACACACACACACACACACACACAAGAATACATTATATAACATTCATTAAGCCAAGTGGCATTTATTTAAAAGAAAGACACCTTTCTGAACTCCATACATCCACAAAAAAATACCCTGACACTAGTTGCTTAAAAGTTGTTGTAATAATGGCTCAGAAAGTGAAATTATTTTGAAGAAAAGCTCCAGCAGCATTTAGTTGGTGGTTGCCATTGACTTCCATAGTATTTATTTTCCTACTATGGAAGTCAATGGCAACCACCAACTGTTTGATTACCAGCAATCTTCAAAATATCTTCTTTTATGTTCAACATAAGAAAGCAACTCATACAGGTTTGGAACGATGACAGAATTTTCATTTTTGGGTGAACTATCCCTTTAAGTGTCAGAATGTTTTTGGGGTCACTGTATGACATTTGAAGTAGTCATTTCTTACCTTACAGGCCAGTTTGTCCACTAGAGCAATAATAGAGTTTTTGAAGAGTGTAGCTGCAGTTAGAGGCCGTTTGGTCACCTCTGTAATACTCATTTTCCCGTCAGGCCACATTTCTTTGAGGACGGGGTCAGAACTACAAGAAAAGATTAGAAAAGAGGGTGATAAACAGTTGACCAAAAATATTAAGTGGAAAAAAAAGAAGCAAGAACATGCTAGTGAAAAGGAAATTAGAATAAAACAGAAGAGGAATCTAAAGAGGAATATTAAAAACAAGTGCCCTACTTTAACAAGTCCTTGAATATATGCATTATTTTAAAGGAACAGCTCAACACAAAATAAAAAAATGTATCATTATTATGAGTGATCGTGTCATTATTAATTTTCTCATGTCATTCCAAAATCAATGGCGTTTAACATCATTGATGTCACAACTGTGAATGAGATATGACAACTACTGTATGGCCGTGGGCAAGAATTTCAGTTTAACTAACATTTTTGCCTGTTTGTCACATAAATCCACTGTATGGCTACAGAAGACTTGATGTATACTGCACAAGTCATAATACAGATTATTTTATGGTGCACAAAAAAAGTCAGGTTTTAAAAGGCATGCGGGTGAAAAAATACCTGTTGTACATCAGTCGCTTGAAATCCTGGAAAAGTGGGTCCTTGTTCTTATCAAGAAAACCCTCAACTGAGTACCTGAAAGGAAAGTGAAAGGAGAAATCAGTACAAGGCTTGACATAAAAAGAGAAATTACATTAATTGACTGACTCAGTGGTTAAAGCACTCAGCGAACAGTCCTTCATACGTGATTCAAGTCACACAAGTACAGATGACTCACACAGCATGCAGGTAAACCTACACCTGGACCATTATCCTAACAGCATGACATGAACAAAACGTTTCAGACTGCTACTTCAGAAAGCAAGGTCTTAAAAAGATAATTAGACGCATTCTGCTTTGCCCTTTTTGCCATGTTTTAATAGACGGGAGAGTAGACAAGGACAGGAAATGATGTGGAAAAGTACTGGAGGTGCCATGATGGCATCAGATGGCAATACAATGGCACTTACTGTAGGTATAAAATATAATACTGAATCATAACCATTCGTTTACACTGCTCAAAAGTCTGCGGTTGGTAAGATTTTTAAATGTTTTTGTATGAATTATCTTATATTCACCACAAGGATGCATTTTAGGGATGCACGATATATCGGCCACCATATCGGTATCGGCCCATATCGGCTCATTTTTTTCTGTTATCGGTATCGGCCTGATAAGAAAATTTGGCCGATATCTTAAAGCCGATAAATAATGCATTATTTCCTTCAGAGACACTTCTGTGGAATAGCAATATCACTGGGGTAAAAGCAGTACTGAGAGGACAGATGCTGCCCCGTGGCCCTTCTGCAGTAGGCCGAGCGAATTCCTGAAAACAGGGTAAGAGTCTGAGTAAAACAGCAAGCCTAAGGGTTTCCGAGGGAGCAATCTGTGCATATAACATACAAACCAAGTCACAGAGTGAGAATTCTCAAAGTCACAGTGGTATAGAAGTTAATTTGATAACAGCTAAAAATACTGGCTTACAAATGCATCTGCTTCATTTTCAGCGCCTGTATGGTGAGGTATGATGCTGCTTATTATGGAGTGTGAAATGGTCATATGATAAATGTGAGATGAGTTTGTGGAACAAATGATAGAAGAGAAACAGGAAGTGTGTTAAAAATGGAATACTAGCTCACTGCAGACTAAATACTGTTGAATTAATGTTGAAATGAAAGGACACTTCACATATCGATTTTTAAATGCGTGTTATAGATCCTGCTGTGATCAATTCATCCATGTATATGTTTCTTTTTTCTTTTTTGACCTCATAATGTTAAATCGATAAATCATCCCTTACGAAAAAGAAGTTTATTCAAGTGTGCTATTAGTATACTTCTTTTAAACTAAAAATAGGAAAGTATACGTTTAGTCTACTTTTTATGTATTTCTCAGAAATGGGCTTTATGTACTTCTCAGAAATATACTTAAAATGACATTTAAGTATACTTGACTTATACTTAGAAAGAGTCTAAATATATTTGAGCTATAATTGTGCTCCTAGAATCCGTGTTTTCATTGTTAAATGGGGGCGATAGTACACATCTTCTGTACAGAATTTCCAAAAAACACAAGTGATGAAGAAACCGAAACAACAGATGCTTCCACATGTATTCTAACACGATCATCAGACATAAAACAGCATCAAAACTGTGTAACGTTATGGAATAAAATGTCGACCAATGAAGAGGTAATAATGACTGTCAAGCTTTGGGGTGTTGATCGACTTTATCTACGTTTTGATTATCATTTTGAATCCAGTTCATAGACTTTTTTCAGCTTTTTGTTCAAAATGTTGATTATTTCTTAATTTTTTATTTATGAAACGTATCCGCATTCAAGTGTTTAAAAAAAGAATGCATGAAGCTAGAATAAAATGTTTTTGTTTACAAGCAGATACCCTGTTATTTTGATGTTTTGTATGTTCAGATATTCATGTAACAAAATATATACAAATTAATACCTAAATAGGGACATAGTAGTATACTTAAAGTATGATGTAAAGTTCACTTAAAGAAAACTTACGAGTATACTTG